TGAAAGCAAGGCTGTAATCTTCAAGCAAAAAAAAAAAAAAGTTTGGGAACACGACCACAAGGATGAAAGAGCTTTTTGTGTTTGCAAGTTACCATTTCATGGTTCTCTCTGTGTGTCTGTCTGCTCAACTCTAATCTCTGCTAATTGTGTTTAGAAACACTTTAGATGGAAGACTTCCTGCTTCATTTTTTTTTTTTAGGAAAGAGAGTCACAAAGGAGAAACCTGATCCCAGGGTGACTCTTTATTTGTGTGTGTGTATGTAGTTGTTTTTTTTTTAACATGAGTTTGGTTTGATAAGGACAAGATGGATGTTGTCCTCCTTGTAGCTAACAATATCAGAGCTTAGTGAAATTAACTTTTATATCTTAACTCGGACTTTATTTTTTTGTTTGCGTAAGAATACTTCATGTGGATCGTCGGCATGATCTTGGACTCTGCAACGAGCAACAACGTTTTCTGGATTACGCCGCCGAGAGTACAGTTTGTGTTCGGGCAAAAGGCCAGGAGTGCATCTGTATCCTCCAGCTTTTCCGAAGGTGACTGCAGAGTGAAAGTACAGGAAGCAAGTGTGAAGTTTTTCCTCAGGAAGCAGAGTCCATTTCCCATTTGGCTCGTATAGGCTGAACCGGAATCTGTTTTACGTAAGCACGGCAGGTCAAAAATAACGGCGTATAAAAGCTGAGGCCTGCAGGACGCCACGTTACACACATCAGCACGAGCGCAGGGGGAAGGAGCCGGAGGAATGTTTGCTGGAAATTTGTTTGGTTCTGTGAAGTTCAAACCAGATGGAATCTAATGAGAAATAAAAGTAATCATCTGTGACCCTATTACTTTAAACCATTTTAGTCTAAATTAAGGGGAGGAGGTGGAAAAAAGCAGCTTAAGCCTGAAAAGTGTATATTTATTGACATTATTTATATATAATGGCTTTTAAGCTGTAAGTTATAAATGAATATAAATGGAATGAGCATCCTTCTTATTTCAAGAAACAATTTGGAAACTTTGTCTATGTGAATAAAAGGTTTGCCAGTGAAGATTTGTTGTTTTAAGGCAAATACTAAGATTCATAGAAACCTAAAACTGGGAAATTGATGTTTTTAATAATTGCATATAAAATAGGTGTGTGGGGAAAATAAGGTTCAGGGGCCAGAAGTGACCCACAACATCTTCATACACAAATAAATAGTAATAAATAAACAATTTGAAATAAAAAAAACAGGTTTTATCTAATAGAAAATTAAATATACTACATTTTAAGAAGAGTTTATTTATTTGTTGGTATGTTGTCTTTTCGGTATTTAATTGATTGGTAACTTGACAAATCTTAAAGTTCTGAGGTTGTGCTGGTATGTAGATGAAGGATGATGTCTACAGGAAACATATGACTAAAAGCAAGATTGTTGAAAAAATATCTTGTCTGCCAACATTTGCAAAGTTAAAAGTAATTGCAAAAAAATGCAATTTTCTTGGTGCTTAGGATGTTTGTTGGGGATCAGTCTCAGCTACTAACACTCCAAATTTAATCTCAATATCGTAAACATTAACTGAGTTATGGCCATTTTATTGTTTAATAAATTTGATTAGCTGTGGCAGTCATCTTGAATTGGGTTGACTCCAAAAGTTAAACACTTGCGTTTGTATGTCCACTGATTAATTTGAGAGAGTTTGAATGAGATCCGTCAAGCGGTTGATGAGATATTTTGCTAACAGACAGGCAAACTAACACAGACACAAACACATATTATCGCCTGTTTGTWGTTGAGGTGGAAGATAGTAGCTTAAAATCATGCTCATATTCTTCTTCTTACCAAACATAATTTAAAACGTTAGTTGATGTGAATAAGCATATTTAAAACTAAAACTACTAAACTGATACATTATGGATCATATTATTCCAACACTGGGGTGGGGTTTGTTCTGATAAATATGTAGGCCTATGTTACAGCAAGTTAAAATGCAATAAAGTTTTTTTAAGCTCTTAAAACTGTTTTCACTAGTCTTCACTTTGGAGGTGAGGGGAGGAGGGGGCCAGTCTTTTGTTTCCTGCAGGATTAACAGGTTGTCTCAGTGMGGAGGCCCCACTTCACACATGTGTGTTGAACAGGATGATTTCAGAACACAGTAATGAAGTGGCTGAAACTGATGGTGGGGGGGGGGG